AACTATATTTGCTTTGACACCTCGATCTGAACATAAGATTAATAAGGACTTTCAGGATGTTTCTGGTGAGTGGCGAGATCCATCTCCCTCACAGCAAACCGAGTCGGGTATCATGGAGCGCGAAATGTTATGTCTCCACATAATTGACGCTGTTTCTCGGAAGAAATGTTCAGTGGTTCGCTGGTGCCAAAGATCTGGTTATCAAACTGAGACAGGTCAGAGCTCATTCAAATGCAGTACTGATCTCCTTCTGTGCGTGCCCCAATAACTTGAGTATTAGCGTCCTCCATTTCAGTTGTGGAACAATGCAGATTTCAAAGGACGTTATGTGGTTCATGCGCCATGCAATAAAGACCTACTGGAACTGACGATCAAACCGATGACAGAGCACAAATATAAGGTTCCAAGACTCCTAGTGAACTGTTTCATCCGACATTACAGGTATATCTCGGGTATTTTTGTAGTATATCAATTTCTGTAGTCGACTTGGCTTTCTCAAGCAATCAGTCGCTTTCAGACACAACAGTAACGATCTTGATCTTCTGTGCGATATACTTTTCGTGTTCATAGGGAGATATGTCACTGATTTTTGTTTTGTTCGTGAATTTCTGGAAAGGGAAGTGATACCGGTAAGTGTTTCTATCATCTACGGTCATATACCTGTAGGATACGTAATCATTCTTCAGACGTATTCCATGGAATGGCGACGAAAGCTCTTTTCCTATGTTCTGGGAAAGTTTGAAGCAGGCGGCTCCACTGTGATAAAAGATCTTCTGTATGTGAAAATCGTGCAGTACGTCCTGATACCGAGTCTTCAGTGGGCTTTTGAGCGCTATAATGTTGACGAAGTAAGTTCTATTCCTGAATTTTTTCCATGGTACTGTATTTGACAGTTGACTCTTCAGATTCTGGGAGAAATACAAAATCCTTCTGAGCAACCGGAAAATGATCCCAACGATCTGGTGTATCGACTAGCTCATGTGGGTAACTTATGCTGTCACATTGACTGTCATCAGTTTTGGCTTCAGTGGAATTCAATAAATACGTTACAGATAATTGACCAGAATCGCCAGGTGATGAGCGATGGTATTGTGATAGTGCTTTACCAGCTTTGTACGCTTCTTGTGAAACATGCACCCCGGCATGTCCACAATAATGATTCAAAGTAAGTTAACATGACTGTGAGTTGCTCTGGTACTGAATCAGAGTTTTTTGTCCCGTTGTTCCGATTTCAAGATTTTACGATCCTCTCATCATCCACTCTCTCACTCTCTCTAAGGGGGTCTCGACATGACCGTCGTTCACCATCATCGGCTTGGGATACAGTCTCTTCTATCAGCCCTCCCATCGACTTCACCACCATTGCTTCTCTCTAAAGAAACGGCAGCTGCTCGAATTTCGCCCATTTCACCAATGTTTTGTCGCCAACTCTTCATTATAACACAAGCCCCTTCGAAAGTCTCGATAAGGTCCCTTACCACAGCCAAGCACACAAAAAGCAAAATCACCCTCTCCTTTCGTGTGCGAGATACGACACGCTCCACCTCTTCGTAAATTCAGAATGCAACCTCGGTGATGAGCGTTCCTCAACGTGCTGTTGACCATGTGTCTCTGTTAAAGATCCTATACTATGCCCTATAAAAGAAGAACGGGCTTGTTGTAGGTAAATCATTCCGATGAGGGCAATAGTTGAATGGTTCCTACGTGTGTTCAGAATTCGAGTACAGTTCCTTGTCCAGGAAGGCCCAAGCGCTCC